TCGTATGACTCTTAACCACGACCCTAAATAGCGAGTCATACGCATATGCCAACACATCTCTGTTCGCTAATTTGACACGCCTGTTTAAATCTCTCTGTAATTTACGTTTTTGAGTTACGATGACTGGAAATTAGACTTTTTTGGTCATTAATTTGCAGGTTTCTGGTAGGGAAATGAATAGGCCAGTGCAATCTTCTATATAATCCCAACAACGAACTAAGCGAAAGTCGAATATTAATGTGGTTTTGAACTGCTGTGGGGACATCGAAGGTCCGAGCGGTAAAACTTGAATTCCTGCAGGTTCATCCTGAGAATCCAAAGACATATGAGAAGAAGGACTGGGTACATTCAACTACCGGGATCGAATTTACCAAAATGTACACTGAACCGTCCGTCGACCACATCAGCTTCATACTGCCATGCGGGTACACATCCACTTTTGAACAAAAGAAAGGCTGGTAGTTGGGATGCTAGGCCTACAGACTCTTTTTTGTCCTTCAACTGAGTAGGTATGATGCCTGAGAATCCTATTTATGATCAACAGAGAGAAAGTAAATGAAAATACATTGTTCATACACCTTCCGGGTGGACAGACAACTCCGCTTTTCCTTGAGGACGAACTGGCATTGCCCATCCAGCTACGATGGAGCGGAAATGCCATTTTCGCCTAAGCGTGTGCGAACAGCTAGAAGCCACCCTGCGGGCGCACATCGAGGACCTTGTCAAATAAGTCGACCAAGACTGGGTTAGCTTTCCTTTCTGATGGATCCACTACAACAAGCCCAGCCAAGCTTTATTAAAAAAAACTAAGGCTAACCCTACTATCTGAAGTTCATTCAATGTCGACCGTAAAACTACTGAGTGACTGTTAGGCAAATTATTAACATGCTAGAGCTTGAGTGATGTCAGCAGAAAGCATGACGCCCCGAACAACGACCGAGCAACATACCTTGGTTGTGTCGATCGATTGACTCGCCAGTCAGGACTTCCAAGTCAAGTGGCGCCACAGGCACTTGACACTTTTTGTTTCAGGTTTGGTGGTTGCAGGATATTGTAGAATGCACACTCACATGAGTCCCGCTTGAACAATAGTCCTCCTGTACTAAAGCAATTATCCTGTTGAAACGAGAGCCATGCGATTATGCATTCTACAAAATCCCGCAACCACCAGCAGGTTTCAAGCGTCTGTGGAACGACTGGCGGGCCAATCCATCGACATAGTCAAGGTGTGTTACTGGGTGGTCGTTCGAGGCGTTGGGCTTACTCTTCACACCACACGTTCACCTATTCGGATGCGTCCAGCTTGCGCTGTAGCTGCCTAATTGCCTTGCCAACAGAAGGAAGCATGAGGGTGGGATACTATCAGGTTGTCCAAGCCTAAAAAACAGGGGAAGTCGAAAGGCAGATGTCGGGATTCGAACCACGGACATTCCGGCCAGTAAATTCGCGCTCTAACCACTGAGCTGTCTCGGGCTGGTAGAGTAGTGGCGACACGCTCGCCTCACATGTCAGATGTGCGGGGTTCAAACCCCGGCACGGCCATGGATATGCACTACTGATGAGCCATTTGATGTACAACCGCGAGGATGACTACGCCAGGACAGGAGGATGACTGTTCAAACAAGAGTCATGTAGCTGTGCACAAACAGAAACACCTGAAATCGTTAACAGTACATTTGTTCTACAGAAATGACTGGACAAATAAAGATAAATCACTGGAGGGAAATTCCGAGTTTCGCTTGATGACACGGATATCAGTCAATCCTCAGGACCAAGGAAACAGGAAACGATACGTTAAGCATGTTTAGTTTTCCTATCCCGAGCCAAAAGTCGTTTTGTTACTCTGTATTGGTGGGCAGACAGACTTGCCACCTACTTCCAAGAAAGCTAAGTTAAATCCATACAAATACCGAATACCTAAAGGTCCCATGAAGTAGATTTAATAAGTAAAAAGTAGGGTAAGTGAAATATGGCTGATCCGCTTAAAAACGAATCTGAAGGTATCATCTTCGCCGAATAAAAATATGCTATAATATGGTGTTAATAGGGAAGAATCTGGTCGAAATACGAAACTAGTGAAAGGGGAAGGGGCACGATATAGGTCAATGACGCGTATCAAAAGTCTACCTGAACTGAAAGAGCACTATCACAAACGTTGGCAAAACAGTTGAAAAATGATCACTAACCGAAAAGTTGGGACAGCCGATCGGTCACAAACCTCATTGATCGAACCAAGAGATGTTCACTTTCCTCATACTGCGCCTTCAAATCGAAGAACTCTAAGAAGTTAGAGGAAGCTTCATTAGATGGTAGAATAAATGATTCCCATAAAAACAGTCTTACATGTGGTCATAAAATTCACCGAGCGAATAAGTGAAATGCATATTAATCTCCATCGGCTGGTGAGGACCGATGCTACCCGATAAACGTTCACTTGGTAGCGAAAACCATAACTTCAGGTAGAGTGGAGAAGGTAAGTGAATTGTAGCAAATTGATATTAGGAGGCAAATTCAGTCCAAGGACACTAAATTGCTCTTTAGAACATCCCTGAAAGTTTTTGCACCGCTTACCATTTATGGCAGACTGATATCAGAGCACAGCATTGACCTCTCGAAAAAAGTATACCCCCAAGACAGGCCAAAATGATTTCCTAATATAGTGGCTTTTTGTGTGGGAGGACTCCTGAAAACCAACGACGCTTTTTTGCCCCGGCAATCTAAGACTAACCGGAAAATGAGCGCATCCCTTTAGATGTTCCGTGGAAAAAATACCCAAGGTGCAGGTGATCACTTCTAAATGGTTCAGAACCCCCTCGCCTTCAAGTGGACTTCAGTGTGACCAACCGAATTGCGTCCAGTGGAATCACTTAACTGCCTATTCTGGGACTTCTAAGAGGGATGTTTTCCACGATTGATTTTTATGATGACTTTATTTTTATGCTGCCTTTTATGTCACTAAATCGAAGATAAAACAGCCAAAAAGTTATCTCAGGGGTTTAGTTACAGCATTTCTATGCCAGACGGCTCTAAGCAAGCATGAGATCTATGTTTAGTACAATCGTTCACTGCAGCACTTTAAACTTTGCAGTTGTAAATTTCACGAACAATAGGGCTGAATCGCTTCAAGTATTTGATATTATTAGCATTTATTTGGAGCTGTATGACGGACTTAATCAGTGTCTATACGCCTGGAAGCATTTCAACTCCACAGAGATAGGAAATACTATAGTTGTATATCAGTAATAAATTCGAGAATGTAGAGGAGTGCCTTGATTAATTTGGTGATCAACAGACCGATTGTCAACGAGTAAACCGAACACTCACAAGGGAAATATTCGGATTTACCTGAGCAGCACACACCGAAAGCAACAAAATTGGTAATCCAAAACCGACCTTGTAATTTTTGAACTGCATTGTAGAAAAAACGACGAAAATAATCGACATAACACATGGCGTAGCCTACCTAAGCAGCACACACCGAAAACAACCAAATTGGTAATCCAAAACCGACCTTGTGATTTTTGGACTGCATTGTAGAAAAAACGATGAAAATAATCGACATAACACATGGCGTAGCCCGACCGGGACCACCTGCCACGAGGCAATTTCGAACCAAAGAATTTTCATATGAACCCCTCTGAGGCAGCAACCCGCAAGAACCGTACAGGAAGTTTGTTTTCCCTTTAATGAAAAACACCTTAAAAAGGGCCCATTGTTTCTGACTCAGGAGAATCAGATGACTGACACGGAGTGCTGATATTAGCTGTTCCTTCTTGGCATGACTTACGTTGAAGGGTAGGCTACATGCGTATGAGCACCTGTTAGACCAAACCAGATAGCGGAAGCAAGGGCTAGAAACAGAACGAATCAACTCGACAATAAGTACACTTGCATTAGCTGTGATGTTAAAACAGTACTGATGTTTTTTGAGTCTGGCTATGTACAGACGACCGACAATCTCGGTGTTCCTTGGTGCGTTGGATTTTGTCGACCGGTTAGTGCTGTTCACTACAGTTGCTCAACAGGATGTTCCCCAGAAGTTTTGTGGACATAATCCGACCCCTATATTCACATACTCCTGGGCATGTGAGTGTATGGTGAGCTCTCCGAACGTTCTTCCAACAAGGATATCGACTCTCTCTGTTCCTGCTCAAATCCGTCATTGATGAAATATCAAGCTGAGAGCTAAAAAGCCCCCAAAACTCCCGTTGTTCAAATTGTTGCCGGTGAGAACATTGTCGATCTACAGTATGCAGAGGATATCGCCCGCATCTTTGAAGACGAAGGCGCAGCATAAGCTTTGTTGAATAGACTGTCCACTGTCATACCATCTTTTGGCATGCACCTTTAAAGTGCAAAGTCATGCTTCAGAACATTCAGTCTGTAAAGGCACCCATGCAATTCAAGGAGAACCACTGGAGATCGTAGAGAATTTTTACGTATCTCTGTAGTTGTGTTAGCTCGGATTGAAATGTGTCGGATGAAGTCAGTGCGAGAATCTCAAGGGCTCGAATCACATTTGCGGCAAAAGGCATATCACTAGATCTTAAGGGCCACGTGTACCAGCGCCGTGCTGTTGTATGGGTGCGACACTTGGCACCGGTGATGTGAAGCGTCTTTAGATTTTTGACCACCGATGGTCCAAAAACGTTGCTGGTGTCGGATGACCGCAACGAATTTGCAACGAGGCAACTAGAAAATGGGTATTTGGTTGTGCGGCGGGTAGCACAATCGGGGAAAACATCCAGCACCATCAACTACGATGGCTCGGCCATGTGCTATGCATGCCGAAACATCGTCTACCACGACGAGTGTTGTTCTCTGTGCATCCGTCAGGATGGCACAAACGGTGAGGTGGACAACGTATGACTTGGCAGAAGGGCGTGAAAGAGATCACGAATTTGGTTATTGCTCGTGTTGTACGCCCTTCACGGTGGGGTCCACGTGACTCCTGAACTTGGCTGGAAACATCACAAGAAATGGTGGCTTGTCGATGTAAGTGGCATTTCTGTTGTCAGTTTCTTTCTGTATTGTGTGACTAAACGTTTGGAGGTGTAGGCATTTCAGAGGACTTTCGATAGGCCAACACCAAGTCCCGTCCCTCACCCACTCTTCCAGAGATAATTCATTGTAGGGATAATACGGCATTTGGAAAGCAAATTGTCATCATCCCTGATTTGCCGGAATCAAACGAATGTACCGTATTCAACGGAAAACTGATGAACAGGGAGAGACCGAGAAACGGAGAACAAAGTGGAATATCTTGTCAAGGCGAAGTTAATGGAAGACAACGGACGGGACTCACTCTGAACATACTGATTGTTGTCTTTGAAATCTTGCCAGGCACCGTACCATTTGGAGTCCTTGTGTAGCACCACTCCAGAGGATTCACTAAGTGGGTAGCAGAAGAAGGGAACACTCATTCTGCATCGCCCAAAGCTGACGAGACACAGGCAATGTGAACACAAGCAAGACCGTACATCACACGGCCAGTAAATAATCACAGATAGGTAAAAGCCTGTGACTGACCGCTTCACAGGTTGCAGTATCTTTTTCTGAGAACCAACAGCTAACCTCCCGGCCTAATGCCGTACGGGATAGTTGTCATGTACACGGCGTCACGATGGTCAAGATCATAAATAAGAATTATATGCCGCCGATGCAATTCCTTACCAAAGCAGTGCATCTGGAGAGTCCTAAATGACAGAAGCAGATGTATTTTTATGGACTTCGGCAACGAGATTTACTGCGAAAGCTTTTTGGGGCAGATATGGGTGACCCTATCCGTAACTCTTTCAGGAATATCTCACTGAGCTTAAACGGTATGTACAGACTGATGGTAAAAGATTGCGCATCACAAATGAATGCAGTGCATTTCAGAGGACTATCACGTTAGCTTCTCTTACATTCTGGCGGGCCACACTTCTACACGGTATCACCATTGGCCAAGCCTAGCTGTCGACTTCAAACGGTTTCAACAGGATATATCCTTCAGTTTTTCAACATGGTGTTTTTTTCCTTAGATCCGATCAAGCACGAAGACTGCATTTAACTTCACACGTGATAACAAAAGGCAATAGTTCAGATGTAACACCGTTTCCGCGTCTCGCTGTCATGCCAAGCGGGGGGGGGG